TAAAATAAAACCTAAAATTAACCCAAGCAAGTCTCTAGCAGTTAATTATTAGCTAGCAATTCTGCACATTGTAATCAAAAAACATCACTGCATGTGCAGAGTTATAGCTTTTCAAATAAAGTAACAGTTTTTCAGTCACTGGCTCATCCTCAACATAAACCACAAGTTCTACACTTCAGCACAATGGTAACCTCCCAAAGGTCCAACATAACAAAAACTTTAAAATACCAAAACTGGAAATAAACTGGGAACCCAAATTAAATTTAAACTAATTATTTGCCTCATTTAGTAAATTTCACTGTTAGGTTTTACAGTGTCAGGTTCTTTTGTCCTCCCTTTCACATCCCAAAAAAATTTAAAAAAATAGTTGGGAAATTTGAGTTGTGAAATGACATGAAAGGTTCCAGTTTCAAGCCCCATAGAGTCACTTCAGATAAAAGTGTCATGATAAAACTAGTGATATTTTCATTCATCTGGTTTTGAAAGTTCATGAAGCAGTTCATCACAATTCCTTAAGAAAAGTTATTTTCCGTTTCTTTTGATTTCAAAGTGGGATCTGGTATGTGATAACAAAGGTCTGAATAAAGCTATGACCTCCATCTTCTTTGTCGGAGTGATGTTTGGAGCAGCTTTTTTTGGAGGCATGAGTGACAGTTGATGTTTCAAAAAACCAACTGTATATTATGATAAACATGAATTATTTGCATTTTATGAAGACCGCCACAAGCATGAAACGTTGTGTATGAATAAACCTATCTTCTGTTTGGCATGTAGATTTGGCCGTAAGCCGATGCTTCTGGTGTCCTGTATATCAGGAATGGTTTTTGCATTGGCCAGCATCTTTTCTTCCTCCTTCATCATGTTTGCAGTGCTGAGATTCTTTAGAACATCACTGGCATCGCTATGGTCTCAACCGTACTCAGTAAGACCCCTATCTCAGGTCCTCAGATTATGATTGAATGTGAATATAAAACAAAGTGAAATGGCCTTACTATGCGTATCTTTCCTCAGATGTGGAATGGGTGGACATTAAGCACAGGAGGCTTGTATGTATAATTGACAGTATGGCATGGGCTGTTGGGAGCACCTCATTGTCTCTTATTGCGTTCTGTATCAGAGACTGGAGATGGCTGACAGTGGCTGTCACTTCACCTTTACTGCTATCCACAGTCCTCTGGTGGTAATGGACCTTGCATATTCTGTCAAATTAAAATCACCACATTACTGTTATGAAATGTTATATAGAGCAAATGTTTCTGATGTAGGTGGGTTCCAGAGTCGGCTCGGTGGCTGATAGCCAATGGCAAGGCTGAAAAAGCTCATTATTATCTTCATAAATGTGCTGTCATGAACTGCAAGGAGGAAGTTATCTCAAAAATCAAACCTGAGGTGAGAGAAAACGATATATATAATGTTGGATTGATCACTTTAAAAAAAACAAAACAATTGTCTGTCTGTAGGCTAACTACATCTCTGTCTTTCTTCTAGGCTCTCTCAATAATAGTTACGGATGGGGGAAAGAAACATTATTCGTACCTGGACCTTGTCAGAACCCCTAAGATGAGGAGATTGGCTCTGCTCACAGGAACCATATGGTGTGTAAATGAACCACAGTTCAACAGTGCCCACTTTTTCAGTGGCCTTGGTCCTGACGTACTTTTCCCATTAATTTTTCCTATATGGATTTTTAAAAAGTCTTTGTTGAAGAGTTAAAAGCCATGAACCAAACAACCAGTTATGAGGTGAATCACAACATTACAAACTTTGATTTGAAGCAAAAAACGTATTTGAAAATCAGACAAAATTCAAAGGCACAAGACAATAAATTTATTGTAAAATGTGTATATTCATAGTACAGTGCATTTTGGTTGTTTCGATTATCTGATTGTTGAAGATTTCATTGCAGAATCATGGGTAATGTAGTTTATCCTGCAGATTCCTGTTATTAAATACAATTATTTTAAAAAACAAGTTGAAATTATGCAGGCTGCACTATAGCCTTCAGTGGCACTAGATTACAGAACAAGGACATACTTCAATGTCTAAATAATAAATAATCTATTAATGGCTTTTCACTTCTTATAGGTTTTGTGTTGCCACTATGACCTATGGTATAAGTCTCAACATCACAGGCTTTGGGCTAAATATGTACCTCACTCAGTTTGTGTATGGAGCCATTGAGATTCCCTCTAAACTGATGGTATATTACCTGCTGGATAAGATTGGCAGACGTAAAACTGAAGCAGGAGCTCAGCTGTTGGCTGGAGTCAGCCTCATGATTAACATATTCATACCCAAAGGTGAGACTGGCAAAACCAACATATGATTATGCAGTGATGATTGTGATTACATGTGCAAGAGTGCTGTTGCTGAATATCTTGGGAAAGCAGCATGATTACTTTTATATAACAGATTGATTAGACATTAAGACTGCAGACATCCCATCTGTCTCCTGCATATTGATAGCTGCTCCCCAATGTCTGCAAATTATATGCAATACAATGTTACACCAAAATTCAGTGACCATCTGTGATCGTAGTAGGCCCTGTTGTCACTGTGGAGTTTGAACATGATTACACAGATGAGTTCAGTATGCAAACAGCCTATGTTCAAACATCGGTGACCTAGAAAATTCTGTAACTGGAAGTCACTGTTCATTAAATGTTCGCGCGAGAATGTGCATATTATTGTGGATGGATAACAGTCAGTTGGGGTGCTGAAAAAGCCGACTGAGCTGTGCAAAACATTTCATTTACGTAAAGAAATATGATTATTAGACAAGCTCTCCAAGTGTTATTGCATTTTAATTATGTTTTAACATTGTGCTTTAACATTGTGTGTAAATATATACAGTATAAGCGATTCTGTGAGAATTAGGGGGGTATAACAGATTTCATTAACCTGTTATGCTGCCTTGTCAGATTTGGTGACCCTGCTGTGTGTCTGTTACTGTTCACATCAGACCAAAAAATGCTTTTTAGGATATAAAATAGAGATGTTTAGACATCACCAGAGTGAACTTCAGTAACAATAAAGCCATTTTGTGTCAAATAGAGGGGGGTAACCTGTTTTGCTGCCTTGTCAGATTTAGTGACCCTGCTGTATGCCTGTTGCTGTTTACATCAGACCGAAATACTCTCTAGGATATAAAATAGAGGCCTTTAGACTTCACCAGTGTGTATTTTGGTAACATTAAATACATTCTGTGTCAAATAGAGGGAGGTAACTTTTAATACTGCCTTGTCGGGTTTGGTGACCCTGCTGAATGTCCGTTACTGTTCAATTGAGATGGTCCTCACATAGAGCGGAAAACGTAGCGGAGCGTCACACCGCTCCGCTTCGCTCACATGCTCTGCTACTGGTTCAATTCAAACCAAAAAATGGAGAAGAGTGAAGTTTAAACATCACCAGAGTAAATTAGAGTAAATTCTTTGGTGCTAACCACAAATCTATAATAGAGAATATATATAGATCAGTGGTGCTAACGGTATTTAAATTGAATTAGTGACGCTACCTCCCTGAAATGAGTTTTTCCAGGGTGAGATGTCTTAGATACGGCTCCACCTGATGGCGGAATGATTTAACTGCAGAAAAAAAATTCTAACCGTGAGACGCTTCTTGGTCGATTAGATTCGTGGACCGAAACTAACGGTTGTATAATAGGGTAGAATGGAAAAATACATTAAAACAACAACAACAAAAACACTGTAATTGTTCAAGGCACATTATAGAGATGGCATAAGCGCAGTACAACTTGAACTTACCAGAATGGCCACTAGAGAATACATTTCCTTTGTTTATTCAGTCTTACTGTGTTCATTATTCTCTTTCACATTCAGATCAGTGGGTTGGTCGTACTGTGGTGGCAGTACTGGGTAAAGGTTTCGCAGGTGCTGCTTTTTGTACAATTGTATTATACAGCTCGGAGCTTTACCCGACTGTCCTCAGGTAACGTTCAAAAACAGTATAATTTGATATTTTTATTATTTGATATAAATGTAAAAAAATAAAGGAGTGCACTTATATTTACAGTCTCGTACATAAAGGAGTGCACTTATATTTCTTTCATCCCTCATTACATATCAGTGCACAATATTTAACTAAATCATTTATTTGACTGGATCCTTCAGGCAAAATGGGATGGGCTATAACTCGTTCCTGGGCCGGCTGGGTGTGTCTGTGGCTCCTCTAGTCCTGCTATTGGACAGTTTCTGGGGCCATTTATCTCAGACCATCCTGTGTTCTGTGGCACTCATTGCTTCTCTGGTGGCCTGGCAGTTACCTGAGACACGAGACAGGTGTCTACCTGAGACTATAGAGGATGTCGAGGGTACTGGGTAAGTCATAACCTATAGTATTTTGTTATGGCAACTATAGAAGACTTGTATTAAAGGGGTCATATGATGTACACCAAATACACAAAATAATGTTCTTTTTAGCAACATCATATGACCCCTTTAACACTGCTGAACATGAGTAATTCTGTTGAGTCAAGGATGTAATATTGGGACCAAAGCAGATTTAGTTATGTTTAATCTAAAACAATCTGGAAAGTTGATGTGTATGTGCTCATTAACCAAGTCATTTTTTATCATATTGAATAGGAAAAGTCTCATTAAAGATCATGACAAGCGGGAGGATGAGGAGAAAATGACAATGAATGGACACACTGAGGAGCACTGAGATTGTGTGCACAGTCAATCTTAAATTTTACCCAAGTTGTTTAGGGTTCAGATTTCAGATCCCAGTAAATGCACACAAAAAATAAAAATAAAGAAATAAAATAAAAACTTGAAAGAACAATTTCAAAGTTCTTTTAAAATATTTTATTAGTTACACAAGGATTTACAACTTTCTCCAGTGACATGTAATAATTATAGCTATTTTAAATGGAGGCATGAATTAATAAATGAAAATCAGAGTGTGTGTTTGTGAAAGAGAGAAATAGAAAAAAGAGAAAGAGCCTATGTATGTGACTTTTGTATGACTTAAAAAAAAAATTTTTTTTTTTAAGATGTCTGGCCATTTCTGATTATCAGAATGCATGCAATGTGCAATGACATCTGCATATATCTGACTATGTGAAAATAAATCTTTACACCTTACAATTTTATTAATGTAAAAAAATATGTCTGTAACAAATAAAAAAGATATTTTCCTTTGTGACTTAATGTTCACTTGGCATTTCATTCTCTGCATTTTCTTTCTCGTAAATGTAACAGCCCACCTTTCCAATGTTCACACCTTTTGGTCCAAACAGGTACCCGTAGCAGGGCACATGGCAGTATGGACTGCCCTCATGCTGCAGAAAATTGAGAAAATACAGCACATTATAAGGGAGCCTGAATCAGTGATAAAGCAATCATTATGGTAGGTATTCTACAAATATTACACAAATCATTTACATTACATATAGGATTTACATTTCAGATTTAGCTACTGTTTTTATGGTGGAATTGAACATTTAATGAATCAAAAAATAATAATATTTAATAACAAACAACTAACAAAATGTAAAAAATGCATTCAAAAATGCAATAAACATCTATCAGAGTAGGGAAGTTGAAGTAGTGAAGACGCAGCGACTGCATACTATGCTTTAATTGGAAGTAGTAGGTTGTATAGTAGCCTACCTCTGCATGGCCACCAGGGGTCAGTGTTTTCTCGCACCTAACACAGCGAAGACAAGGCCTGTGCCAGTTGCGACCCAGTGACATCACCTTCTCAGCTGCAGCGTTAGACCATGACATCACATTACATCACATTAATACAACACAATGCTTTTTAATGGTTATATATTTAAAACATTAAAATGAAATGTATATTCAGAAAATTAACAAAAATAAAGAAGGTATTTATTTAAATATAATTTGATATAAAACATGGAAAATATAAAATATATAATTCAATTATACAATTTTGTGTATAATTTATAACTTGATCAGTTTGTACATGGCTGTATATGGCTAGAAAAGAACTACAAAGTCTTTAAATGTTACACTCCAGTCTAAATGATGAGTAACCATCGTAAACAACACTCACCTTTGACTTTTACCCTAAACTATTTTAAAAACATTTATTTATTGGAATTTTTGCTGTTCCTCTTTAAATGGACTCAAAATCTCAGAATGGTCAGACCGAATGCTACACATATACAGCAGCACAAAACCATACACACACACACACACACACACACACACACACCAACCACAGACATTCCTGAAAGTTCTCAAATGTCTGAAAAGTCATAGTTTTGATTCACTGGACTCACCGAAATAAACTGCCTTTCCACAGCCGGGACACAGACAAGTCTCTCCGGCAAACATGCGTGTAGTTGCAGTGGAAGCTACAAACAAGAGCAAAACCTTTATGTATCTGTATATACATTTTTTTGTAAATTTTTTAAGTTGCTGAACTATAACTATAATTTGAGCCAAGGAGGACCATAATTCATTCAAAATTACATATATGCGCTTTTCTGTCTTGTGTCTCCTAGCATTCTATGTCTATGATATCTATTAGCCAGTTATTAATCTTGATCTGTTACTAAAACATTTTCATAACTTCTGGTTTGATGCTTCTGAAGGCCAGATCCAGGCTGGTGCGATTAAAGCTGTGCTGTACGATGTGCTTTGATAAGGATCTGCGGCACTTCTGTTCACAAACCTACAGTCTTTAAATCAACGCTTCTGTCTCACATCAATGATGACAGACTGTTACCAATTTTAGATCCTAATGTCTCTTCCTGTGTTCATTTTATCAAAGTGAACCCATGGTGCTTGGCTCATGGGTTTAGGAAATCTGTTACGTTCTGAGACATTCCTCCAGACGTTTCCAAAACGGTCCAAAAAACCCTCCCCTAAAATTCCTGCAATCTCCCGCCTGTCGGAAAACACCTATTAACTGGGGAAATATTTCAGGAAAGGAGCCAATCAACGAAGACCATTAAAATTCCACCGCGTAAAATCCCTAGGGGGTCACTTTAGAAAACCATCCACCAACCCCTCCATTACAACACACACGTTCTAGTATTTCTGTTTCCCACTCAGTGTGGGAATCTGTGTATGTGCGTGTTAAAAAGTGCTGAGGAAGTGTTAATGTACAATGGAATGTGTGATACAATGCAGCACAGACGAGCGTGTCAATATAAATACAGTGGCTAAGAATAGCATATGGACACTTAAGTTACACTTAACTATGACTGAATGTCATTTCATTACAAGACAAAATCAAACCAAGAGGCATCTGCAGTCAAAAGATGCAAGAGCTTTTCTCAGGAATAACGTCCCTTTTCTAGGCCATTTATAATTACTTTTAACCAACTGAAGTCAAGGTGATTGTAGTAGATGTATGAAGTCAGTTCCCCCTTAAGTTCAACAGGTGTACCAGCAGAGGGCTATTGCTACAAATAATACCCCAGCGACTTAAGACTGGTTTTGTGGTCCGGGAACACATATGTAGTTTACCACTTTAAAGGGATAGTTCACCCACAAATTAAAATTACCCCATGATTTACTCACCCTCAAGCCAACTTCGGTGCATATGACTTTCTTCATTCAGACGAATACAGTCAGAGTTATATTAAAAATGTTCTGGCTCTTCCAGGCTTTATAATGGCAGTGAATGGGTAGTAATATTCAATAGTCCAATAGAAGTCCAATAAAGTGCATCCATCCATCATTAAAAAAGTGCCCCACATGGCCCCGGGGAGTTAATAAAGGCCTCCTGAAGCGAATCGATGCGTTTTTGTACGAAAAATAACCATATTTAAAACTTTATAAATTGTAATCGCTGACTGTTTTATGCGGGTATATGAGAGAGTGGCGTTCCAGCAGATAATATAGTATGTATGCGTAGCGTAAGCTCCAGAGAGTAGTAACGAATGCGGAAGGGCAGAGGAGAGAGCAAAACAAAACACAGGTCACAAATTAGAAGTACAAAACAAGGATTTGTAAAGAAAAATGTCGTTGGATTTCGATAAGCCAAGAGGAGTTTGGGTTTCCTTTGCTAAACAAAGGAAACTTTGTACTTTATTGGACTTCTATTGGACTATTGAATATCACCACCCATTCACTGCCATTATAAAGCTTGGAAGAGCCAGGACATTTTTTAATATAACAGAATTTATTCGTCTGAAAGAAGAAAGTCATGGGGTAATTTGCATTTTTGGGTGAACTATCCCTTTAACTAAGGACATATACCACTAACATTTGAGAACCAAAAAGTGTCCAAATACTTTGTTTTAATTTTTGACAGTATATTATGGAAACCACTTTTGCCTAAGAGTATAAGAATAAAAATAAAAAGGTAATTGTGACTTTATATCTCAGTGTGATATATCTCACAAGTGCCACTTTGTTTCTCACAAGATTACTTATTTTTCTTATTTGAAACTACTGCATAATTACTTTAATTTTTGCTTTTGACTTTTCATGGTATAAATATTGTTTTATCATTTCAAACCTAACAAACCATTTTGTAAAATTTTTGCTTGAAATATGTGTTTGAGATACATTTACTGAATTATTCAGTGTCACTTGAACTTTCAGAATTCATTCCAATATGCTGGTTTGCTGCTCAAGAAACATTTCTTAGTATTAGCAACGTAGAAACAGTTGTGCTGCTTAATATTTTTGTGGAAACAGTGATATATATTTTGTTAGCACGATTCATTGATGAATAGAAAGTTCCAAAGAATAGCATTTATTCGAAATATATTTTAACATTTTAAATGCATTTACTGTCACTTTTATAAATGTAATTTGTTCTTGCTGAATAATTTTTTTTTTTTTTCTTACTGACCCCAAACTTTTGAACAGCAGTCTGTCTAAATGACAGTACCTTTAGGTTGATTATAGCTGATCTGTGAGTTGGTCCAAGGTGTGGTGGGCGATCCGTCTGAAGGGCTGTTACATGATTTGTTGACCGGTGTTTGAGGAGGTGTGTCATATATGTAAGATCCCGCCCCTCCAATATTTACACCTACCAATGAGAGGACAGAACAGTGAGTACCATTCCATTACTGCCTGAGTGAGTGTTAGTGGTGGATAAAGCTCATATCTAAGTGTTCAGAATCTCCTAATGCAGATAGCATTAGACAAAAGCCAAAAATATCCTCTTCGGGTCCTGATAAAATGTATCTCTCCTGAACTGCGCACTCACTTGGATAGTGTATTACAACCTGAAACAAGCATATTCTAATGTCTGAGTGTGCATTAACATAAGCTATACACTGAAACCTAGCATCTTACCAAACACAATATTTTCCTACTTCTAAACACACACACACACACAAACCTCAGTCAGCCACTATATGCGTCTCTCTTATGTCGTCACTGGATCTGCTTTAACTCTTCTGGTGTCTTAAGTGTTTAGGAAGACAGGGCGACATTTTTATTGTGAATGTATGTGTACATGATGATATTTGTATGCATTCGGTCAGATATTGTTGCAACTATTAACATGGTTTGTAAGTGAAAATAGGACTGTCTGTAAGTGGTCATCGTCCGTTCCCGTCTCTGTGGTTTAGATGTATCCCACTTAACAGATTGCGAAAAGACAAATCTCCACTTCACTAGTGAATTCTGTCATTTGATCTCATGAGGAAATTAGTTTTAAATAAAGGTACCGAGTGAAATGTCCCTGTATAATCTGGTTCAACCTGAAAGACCTGCTTTGATCTGGATGATTTCAACCAACAAGATATAAGATATTAAAACCATAGTTTTCATTTTTGAGTCATCATGAACTCATTCGCTTGTTCCAAACTTGTACGACTTTATGATATTTTGAAGAAACACAGTTATGTAAGGACTGAGCTCTTTTTAAACTTTTAAAAAATTTCAGAAAGATGAAATGCAACTTTTTTATCTTTCAAAAACTTTTTAGCTTGGCCTTTTTTAGGTTTCTTTCCTTATTTCTCTTTCTTTCTTTCTTTCTTTCTTTCTTTCTTTCTCACACATACACATGATAAGGTTTCTAGTGGTAAGTGTACTGTCTTTATTTCGAAGGTTATTCTAAAAGTCACTGAGAGTCAGATGTCGCTAAATGAGCCCTGATTCAAACCTTTATTTACTGTGCATGAACACATGCCGCATAAAGAGCAAGTAGCACTAAAGACCCAAATACACATGAAAAACCTATGAGCCCCAAGATTCTCACTCAGCTTTGTATGAAAATACATTCTATTTTACGTGTAAAGTATCTCAGTTGCACACACACTCACAACATGGCTTACAAACTGCAGTTACAACTTATTGTACATACCTTTTGGTCCAAAGAGGGTTCCATAACAGGGCTTATGACAGTAAGGCAATCCATCATGCTGTGTGTGAGAGGCAATATCTTTATTAGTCCATTTTAACTTTATTTTACTTAATTAGCAGAATTTCTCATTGTATGTACAGTAGCTTTGCTGCATACACAAAACAAAAGCTTTGTCAATAAAACACACTAAACCTATTGAAATATAGAGAATATTTTTCCCAATTCAGTTTAAGCGCTGACATAACCTGAACAAATATAAATATTCTGGCTTAGAAATACTAATTATTTTTCTATAAAAATGTCTATTTCTAAATATTAAAATTTGTTCCAGGCACTCTTCTACTAAAACCTGCATTTTCAGGCAAGGTAAAATGATCAGAAGTGTGTGTGGAAGACAGAATGAAAGAGAGAGGCTTGTGTCGTGCTAGATTCATTAGAGGTCATTGTTTATTCTTCTGTTCCTTCCTGCTCCTCCCAGACTGAATAAAAAGACCCAGTCAGGCTCAAATTGGACTAAAATTCAAGCCTCCTAACACACACTCAAACGCATACACACTAAAATAGAGGTGTGTGTTTTGAGTGTTACTTGTGCACATAACAGTGCTCTTGAAAAAAAAAAAAGCCAAAATAACATGCTAAAATGAGTAAATACATATTAGGAATATATATATATTTTTTATTATTATTACATTTATTATAAATTTTTATTTTTTTACATTTATCATCATCAGGGATTTTTAATGTATATTTTATATATTAAAAGCAACATCTTTCTCAGTGTCTCTGTTGTGAGCTAAAAATACTGTTTGTGTTCCAACTGAGAGCCGTTTCCAAAAGAACAGAATTGGGGAAAAAGCCAGTCGACACCTGCAGTGAGTGAACACTAACAACAATACACAACCTCCTGTTGTTTTGAACACAATAAGAGAAAAAGAGCACACACACAATAAAGGGAACACAGTAACTGTAATAAAAGAGTAACAAGACTAAATATATCCTTCATTGAGACAATAAAGAGCTGTTTGTCCATCCATTTTTATCAACACAAATGAAAAAAACAATAGAAAAGACAAAACACTCCTTAATTTTAAGTCAGAACACATCTTAAATTAAACTAAAGCTTTTTGTGACTATTCTGTTTGTGTGCATGCAAGCGTGAGCGTGTTGACAGAGAGAGAGAGAGAGAGAGAGAGAGAGAGATATAGAGCGAGAGAGAGAGAGAGAGAAAGAGAAGAAAGGAGAAGGAAGAAAGGAAGAGAGGCAGAAAGGCAGACAATTGCTTTCTGGTTTGAATGAACTCTTATCTTTGTCCCTCCATTGTCCTTGTAATAGTTCTTGTAAACACAAACAGTAACTTTGAGTGTGGGAGAGGAAGAGCATATGCTTACAGATATACCCCTACTTGTTCAGTAAAATGATTTGAACTAGCTGTACCGGACTGAACATGTGTTTGAAAATGACAGATTACTGCTATTTCTCTGCAGTTAAGAATATTATGATTTACCTTTTCATATAAGAGGCAAGTAGCAGTAAAGCCCCAGACTAAAATAATCTGTTTCACTTCCTGTTACCACAGCCAGTCAGTCTTCACCCTGCTGTTCTTGTCAATCTCTTTTCGGTTTTATACTGTAAAACTGACTGAATAAAGCATCATCAAACAATTTTTAGTAAGGATATTAATTTCTTGTCCTTTCGTTCTTTGCTATTTTGACGTTCAGGGATCAAAAAGAGTATGGGAATGGCTTTTTGTAACAGTTTCAAGAAAACAAACATGCTTAAACGTTCCATCCAATATTAAATAGATAAATAATGAATATATTCGTAATTGTAATCTCTCCCTGACAGTCCGAGAACATTCCAGACAGATCTAATGAGGTTATACTATAAATACTAATTCTATGTTTACAGTCATTGTAGGATTTCAATTCCTCCATAAACTTCTACTCGTGATGAGTGACAAGTCTACAGGTGAAATATAGACTTTCAAAGGGATGAACGATCATTTAACCCAAACAGGGAAACAAGACAACTCTGATCACTAAACTAGAAAATGTCTCCTAACGTATCAGGCAGGACCCTCACACATGTCAGTTCAATAAAAAGGAGAAAGGAAACAAAGAAGAAAGAAAAAAGGACAATGAGGGGCACCCAAATAGAAGTGGACAGGGATGACCTACAATCAGTGTCAGCTCAATGGATTGCTCAATGGACCTCACACTGTGTAACTCTGCTGTTACAGTACATACAGACCAAGAAGCAGGACATCCAGAATCACAGTCTATCTCGGTGCAATATCAGCTTTAGTTCTGCTTACCTCCGCATGGCCTCCAGCAGACAGAATCTTACTACATCGTTCACATTTCAGACAGAAACGGTGCCAGTTTTTCCCCAGAGAGCTCACTTTCTCAGCTAGAACAGGGAGAGAGTATAATGTGTTATCTGATCAGTATGTGTGATATAAAATGCTGAGGATGACCGCCTTAACTGCAGTAATCTATATCTAAATTACACAGTTAATAAGACTGCAATTGTCCTGTAGTGATACATTTCTGTTTGGCTGCTTTGCATTTCAGTCAAATGGCCTCTTCTATTCTAAGTGGGTGGTTTGTGGCCAGTAAAAGCTGCTAATTGGACCAGACTATATGTTAGTCAAAAACCTAACTTTGTATGACTAGCATCACATGGTCTTCTTGTTCTATGTCTCTGAACTGAAAGAAAGCAAGAAAAATTGAAATATCAAGCAAGCACTACTATTTAAAAGTTAAATTTAAATAGTTTAAGTTAGATTTAAAAAAAAAAAAATTTATACTTCCATTCAGTAAGGATGCATTAAATTGATCCAAACCTTTTGTAATATTACAAATGTCTTTATTATTTCAAATAAATGCTGTTCTTTTGAACTTTCCTTAATCAATGAAACTGTAAAAAAATGTATCACACCATGCAAATATTAAGCATTACAACTGTTTTCAACATTAATAATAAGAAGGAGTGTTTCTTGAGCAGCAAATCAGCATATCAGAATGATTTCTGAAGGATCATGTGACACTGAAGACAGGAGTAATGATGCTGAAAATTCTGCTTTACTATCACAGGAATAAATTGCATTTTAAAATATATTAAAAATAGAAGTTATTCAAAATATAAATAACATAAGACCATAAGAGACTTCTTTTAAAAACATCAAAAAATCTTACATGCTCCACACTTTTGAATGGTAATGTTCTTTGAATCATTATTTATATGACTTTTATAGTTACTGTTACTGCACCATTCATAGATATTTACAGTTGTGTCCAGCTCAGCAAATGCTGAAACACAGCAACTACAATTTTGTGTTTGCTTGTGCATGTATATCTAAAGAGATATCTATAAACAATATTTACAAGAGCTCTGAGAAGACGATCCACACAAAATACTAATTCTTTAGGGTGGAGTCTGTATCTGTGTTTGCAGCTTAACAATGCAGCATCAAAGGAGAGGAAAAACAAACTGGACCATCTGAAGAATTACTCCAAATGGAGATACTGTTTCAGTCCAAACCCTGCTGAGTCAGATTTGCTATCAAGTGAATGTCGATAAGTGCATCTTATCTCTGACCTTTCTGATCTTCACAAACAGTTTTTGTGCACAATCAAACAAACAACCATTTCACTGATATCTTAAAAGAAACGAAGTGATGAAAAAGCACTGTTATTTAAACATTTGGGGTTAGCAAGATTTTTTTTATTTTTATTTTGTTCTTTTGAACTTTCTGTTCATTAACGAATCCTGAAAAAACTATTATGGTTTTTACAGAAATATTAAGCAGAACTGTTTCCAACATTGATAATAAGAAGAAATGTTTCTTGAGCAGCAAACCAGCATATTAGAATGATTTCCAAAGGATCATGTGACACTGAAGACTGGAGTAACGGCTGTTAAAAATTCAGCTTTGCCATCAAAAAGATAAATGGCATTTTAAAATGCATGCAAGTAGAAAACAGTGATTTAAAACTGTATTTCACAATATTACGGTTTTTAGTTTATTTTTGATAAAAATAATGCAATCTCATACCCACCCCAAATTTTTGAACAGTATTGTATACTGATTTTCAGCCAGCTTCAGTCTATTTAAAAATGTTTTACAACTTCCACTGCACAAAAAACTGCTTGAATGTGTTCTCTCTTACTCATAATCAGCTCTTGAATTAAAAAAAAAAAAAAAATCTATAGTTTGCTATGAGCAAACACACAGTAAACAGTCATGGACTTTGGAGGACAGGAGTGAGAAATACAAGCGATTCAGAGAAAAACACACTGGTCAACATGCCACAATCAATTAATCAACAAGCATATTTTCTGTAATTATAATATACCTAACGAAGGAGCTATGATATGATATAAAAACATTTTCCAGGTTGACATTGTGCATGTGGGGGACTAAACCCACCTCCCCAATGCCCTATATGCTTACTAGCCGACATTCCTAGGGTCTGTCTCTCTCTCTCTCTCACACACACACACACACATTCCATCACACAAAACTAGTCAGGTCAAACAGAGAGCACACTGACTCAGACATATTCAGAACTCTAGGCTCAGTGGGGATATCAAATCATCAAGCTCCTCTTCAACACAGCCAGAAAGATAGTTACTCCATCCGCTGACCTGCAACAGTAGCACAACAGATCCGCTCACTTTATTCAAGAGTCCCTTGCCAAATTCTTACATAACACCGTCACCCAATTCTCTTTTCACGGGCTATAGCATTTACTAGCCCAGTGGATACTGGATGCCGGGACAGAATACTAAACAGGAGCTGACAATAACGGGACAGACTAGAGAACATCCTCCAATGTGGCTGTGGGAGCGTCAGGGTCACTTGTTCTTGACCCATCAATAACAATACTGTTGCACAGGCTGCAAAATTAACCCTTATCTTCTTCTTGTGACTGACAGCTTGGGGTCCCAGAGATCTCTATGCTGTATGCAGGGGGGGGGGGAAGAATAGTCATTTTGAAATTAACCTATTATTTTACCCTAAATCTTTTCCTCTGACCCAGTTAAACTCACTAGACAGATTAATTTAACCTTTTTACAAAGACACATACTTTTCATGTTTATCAAGGACAGCAAGACCACATTAGCGAAAAATACATTAAATCAAATACCAATTCACTATTGAGTAATGATGTGTACAGCAGAGAATATTAGTATATGTAAATTAATTGCGTTTATTCATATATATCTCTGAGAACCCAAACAGAATAACAACATCCATGGTGGACTTTTGTTATAAAGCATAAACATACACACATGCGCGTGCGCACACACACACAAATCATCAAGTAACAGTCCAAAGTGTTTTTGAACTATTTAACTGGATATGGGGTATTTAAGACCGCCAAAAGAAAACACAAGTGTTTAAATCACACTGCTTATTATAACCGAATGGCTCCAAAACAAACAAATACGCTTTTCAAACTCTTGCTATGTAACTCTTGTCAAGATTTGCATGAGTTTTTTCTTTTTTAAAAAGAAATTACCCATGACCACCTACCCATGCAATTTAAGTCAATTAGTCCAGTCCAATAATACAATACCAATCAAATGAACTTGGCTTGTACTTCTGCTGAGTGATGATTCTAGTGGAAAAACTCTCACCGAAAAACACAGTCTTATCGCATCTTGGGCAAATGGACGTCATTCTCTAGAAGAGTCTTGTTGCTGCGCAGGTTCGGTTCTGTTCGATGTCCGTCTCTCAGTGGCGCTGCACACTGTGTGCAACACGAGTCGCGTCGCGGCGTTTATTTAACTTTAAAGAGCCTCCGCGCTTGTCTCATGAATATTAAATACGTTGCGTGACGTTCGACCAGTAAACTCTGATTGACTGAAAGGTAACGAATCCTGAAGGCTTGGCTTGTAAATATTAATTAGGAAACACTGCTGGACGCCCCAAGGTTACCAAGCAACGTCAGCTTGACCTTGTTAATATTCATAGCCTTCGCCATAATGGGATTCGTTAATACGCATCGAGCTGCGTGGCACAGTTACGCCACGCCTTTGGCTTGACCAATGAGGAATGTTTCTTATATGTCAATCAAAACAAAAACACGCAAAGCTGCCCATCAAACTCTCCCGACTTCACAAGCTTGTCACTAAATAAAAGTTGTTAGTCTGTTTTGTCTTTTGTCGTATGAATCTTGAGACATTAGGAGTTTATGTCTCAAGAATTAAAACGAAGCGGTTTTAAAAATCTTGAAAATATTTAAAGGCTGTAAGAATGTGTTTTTGTTTTCATTGACACGTGGTGTTTTAGATCAAAACCACAGCGCTGGCAGTCCTTAGTACCATTTGAATACTGGTCAATTTTGAGGTGTTGGGTTATTTTGCTTTCATGCAATGGCTTCTTTCAGAAAACATCCAAAATATACATTTAAGTGCTTATTTTATCACACTTTATGCATGTGTAGATTTTAATAACAATACATATCTTTAAAGGCTGTTTTCTCAAAATGAGTTTCCAGTTTTATTCCTATCTATATTCTGAAGGGTTTTACAGAGGGGTTGTTCCTATATAATTTGCCTGATTTATATAACATTTTATGAAACAGCAAGAATGAATCAGAATTTTGAACCGGGCTTTACCTAATGTTCAGATTTCTGTTCTGGAAATGTATTCAAATTTGTGCACATTTAATTAGTGCATGTGCACATTTAAACATAAAAGTTCAGTAAACTTGTAAAATAAAACCCTGTCTTAATGCACTGTGATTAACCACGGTGAAATTTGTTAATTAGAGTCTTGATGAATTACAAAGTTTTCTTTTTTTTTTTTAAATGAAGCACATTAAAGTGAACCAAAGTTCACCATTTCACTGTCATGTTGTGGGACTGACAGCCTCAGGCAACAATCCCTTTCTTTGCTACTTTTTTTTTTTTTTTTTCATACAGTGAATAGTGTCATTCTGTGAAAGGCTGTCATTCCACCTAACATCTCCTTTGTGTTCCAACAAACAAAGAAAGACATACGGGTTTGGAACAACATGAGGATAAATAAATAATGGCAGAATTTTCATTTTTGGATGAACTCTGGTAAACCCAAACTTTGTTATGCTAATGTTTACTGAAGCAGAAACCATCCCCGCTCTCGTTCAGTAAAGATACTGTAATTAGTGCGGTCTAAATAGATGCATGTGAATGATGGAGGCATCAGTAAATGCACGTTCAGCTACTGGCATCACCACTGAGATAATAGATGATCTCATTCTTGTGTCCTTAGATGGGGTCAAAGGTCACCTCATGAGAGACAGCAATCCATGGTACCAACTGTTTAAGACTCTCTCAACTCTCACATAGTCCATTACATAACACTGTCCATGGACCTTATACCCTCAAATGTAGCGTTAATAGCCATCAGTATTACAGTATTAAACAAATAATATATTGTATAATAGTGTAATTTATCTCCCTGTTTCACTTGCTTTGTGTTTTATTTGTATATTTATTTGTGTTTCTTATTATTATTGTTGAAAACTGTGATACATTTTCAGTATTCTTTGATGAATAGAAAATTTATTTGAAATTATTTATTTGAAATAGAAATCTTTTGTAACAAAAAAAGTCTTTACGCTCACGTTTGATCAATTGAATGAATCCTTGCTGAATAAAGTATTTCTTTCTTTCTTTCTTTGTAGTATGTAATTATTTTAAAATAGATTTTTTATAATGAAGCTTTAAGTAGAAAAGTCACCAGCTGCAACACACCGCTTAAGAACAGCCTTAGTTAAAATACTCAACAGTTAAGTAAAGCATATAATTGAGAAAGATGTTATGCTAAAATACTGTTCACTTAACATTCTCTCATTGAAACACATCTTCTTTGGTCTGACATCACTGTGAAATCATTATGATATCACTGAATGGACTGATCTGTGGAAGGCAGTGGGAAGAAGATGCTGGAACTTTGAATGAGCCTGTGTTGTTGCCTGCTCTTGCGTTTCACTTTATTATAGCGCCCCCTACTTGCGTCAAATACTATGTATGGGAGTACTGGATGTATGTATTTTTTCTTATTTATTGTCGTTTGTTCCTTTTACCTTAGGTTAATGTTTTACCTTTTACCTTATTTGTCTTAGTTTCGCCCTTTACATTATTTTTTATATTCTTTTGTATTTTATGTCCTTTTGTGCTTGGAATAATTCAGCTATGTTTAATTATTTAAATTATTTTGTTTGATGTTCATCACAAAAACCTTTTTCTACATTCCTATTAATAAATTGACATGAACAATTACTTTTAATATGTAGTTGTTTATGTAACAGTTTATGTGAATGTTGTTACACCCTATCACCACTAGATGGTACCAGTGTTCACCAGAGTTTAATAAATACAGACAATAAAGCCAACAAGTCTCTATTTCATTTGGTTCATTACTGAAAAAAATCAGTGATGTCTACAGTACATCAGTTTTCACAACACTTGCCTAAACAATTTAGAATGTTTCTGGAGTGTTAACTTACTACAAGAGTGATTGTTATAAAACAAACTGAAACTTAAAACTTTCAATTATTTGCTCATGCTGTACAGCAGTGAACATTCTGGCAATATTAGCAAAGGTTCTGGAATTTTTCATAATAGGCCCGATTCCTGACTCTTTTTTTTTGGCATCTGTTAGTGTCAGCTGAAGGCTGTGTGCCATGTATGGCTTACACTGAAAGTTTGTAATTTTAGCTGATTCTGTCAGGTGTTCAGAAAATGAACAACATTTGATTGATTATTATTTTACCTTGTTTGCACAGTTTGAGTTGGGTTGAACTAGTAAAGGATAAAATTAAATATTATTCAATAAAGTTACTAAATTAAATTAATTCTGTGTACAAAGAATGGCTTTGTGCTTTTCTTTGCATATACCTTAGATGTACAAATACATATGCACCACTGTTCAAAAGTTTGGGGTTGATAAGATTTTTTTCATGTTTTTGAAAGAAGTCTCTTTCAAAATGCTGCATTTATTTGATCAAAAATACAGCATATTTGAAATATATTTGATTATATATTGAAATGTCATTTATTTGGCAAAGCTGAATTTTCAGGAGCCATTACTCTAGTCTTTATTGTCACATGATCCTTCAGAAATAATTCTAATATGCTGATTTGATGCTCAAGGAATATTTCTATTATCGATGTTGAAAACAATTGTGCTGCTTAATAAAATCTTTGTGGAAACTGTCATTCATTTTTTCCCCCAGATTCTTTGATGAATAGAAAGTTCAACAGAACTTCAACAAAATCTAATATTGTGATGTAGAGATCAAAAGTACCACCATTAACAGCCAATAATGTCTTGGTAACATTCCACCATGTTTTGTCATGGTGTAATGTATGTGTTTTTATTTATTTATTTATTTTTCTGGTGTAGTCTTCACAAATGTATCAAATGAACTTTTATTTAAAAACAAAAAAACATTAAAAAAATTTTTGCTCTAGAAAAGCTCTATATCAAAAAGTTTTTAAAAACAAACAAACAAAAAAAGGTTAGAAATTCCAATCAAATTCTGAAAAACTTATCAAGTTGCTGTGCACTTAATTGTTGGATAATGAAAGAGAAAATCTATATTCTGGAAAATCTAATCAAGTCCTAATATGTTAAACAGTAAACAGTAGTAGCATCCTATAAATCATTCATTATGATTAAAATAAAAACATTTATAAATGTGAATCTACACCTCTGTTCTCTGCACAGTCGAAAATCTCAGGCTGAGCTTTCACCCTGCCCGTCATTTCAAGAACATGGACAATTGACCAGATGTCCCTCGTAGGGGTGGGGCAGAGGACACACACGGTAAGTTCAGTGGTGGGGTCGAAGAACACCAGCTCTGTTCAAGGTCAAGGGTCAATCTCCATGGGAATGATAGTGAGGATGACGTCCTCGTTGCCACGTCGAACCACTATGCGTAAACTGGTGTCCTTTTTGATGGATGTGCTCACATCCGTTGCCGTGGAGACCCGCTGACCATTGATAGAAATGATGACGTCATGTTCCTTAAGTCCACCTCTACAGAAGAGACAGAGAAGAGGGCAAAAGCATTTGAGGAGGAGGACTGAAGAGGACTAAAATAATTCCTTTTGATTAAGGTCTCCTAATCTTCAGAGATTACATCACAGAAACTGAACCCTCTCCAGTACTAATCAAATATTGCTGGATTTCCCAGAATTACTCCAAAATAGCTTCCAAAATCAACTCTTAAGGCTGTGTAATGTATTTTTACAGTTGTTGTAGAACTGTATGCTTCATCGAAACATCAACATCAAAAGTGTAATGGCTCTATAATTCAGACCTTATCACTTTAATTGGCTTTTTAAATCATATTTCAGAAACATACACCTACATCTACATTAGGCCAAACTAAACACATTCACATGCCCTCACAGAATAACAGCTCATATACTAGAATACCTTATTCATTTTTATAAGCATTTTTATAACCTAGTATAACACATATTTAGTTACCTAGCTTATATACTAGACTTCACAAGTACTTCCTGTTTGTTGAACTGCAAGTGCGACATTTGGTGATCATCTGTTATTCAACAGTGAATCATACGTGTAATGGTGTCACGCCGAGAGGGAAGAAGCTGTTATTTGTGTGTCTGGGTGCCATCTGAGCTTGTTCTTAACATGTCCAAGCTTTCAGGAAAACTAAAAATGTCCTGGATGAGGATGTGGTGGGCAGTGGATTGGACTGTGGTTGTGGAATTATATCAAAACAATGTTTCATGAACAAAGAATTTCATCACTTGTAACTGCAAACCCTAAATTTGCCTTTGAGTACA